GGGGGCCCGGCGGCACCTCGGGGGCTGGCAGAGCAGGCTGCATGGGGGCTCCCGCCCCGCCGCAGTCCAGGGCCCGGCACACGGCCTCCGTGGCGCTGTGGCTCCAGAAGTCCCCACAGGCCGGCACCCAGGACGATCCTCGCCAGAGCTCCACCATGCCGCTGCAGCGGCTGCTCCCGTTCACCAGCCGGACCCCGAGATGCTGCCCTGGAAGACCAGACCCGAGTGAGGCCTGGAGGGAGCCAGGCTGGGGATCCCCGGATGGGGGAGGGGGCCGGGGCTGCGGGGCCCCAGCCTGGCCTGGGCGGGCGGGGCAGTGCCCGACCTGTCTGAGGGTCAGCGGCTGTTCTGGCCCGCGGGCTGGCACCCGGCCCCCTTGAGGCCTGACCCTCTGGCTCTCCTTGGAGTCAGGTGAAGGTGAGGCTGACATGAGTAGGGTTGAGGCTAGTTCTGGAGTGACAAAGAGCCAGGCACCCAATCCGCTCACCCTTCCCGATTCCCTGGTCCGTGGGTGCTGCCCCTCCCAGGCCGCCCCTGGTTTTGAAAGTACAGTCAAGAGGCCCCCAGGACCCAGAGCCCTGGAGGCTTGGTGATGGGGTTGGACCGGGCTGTCCTGGGGGGTGGCGGTTCTCTTCCCCAGAACCCCAGAAAGCCCCTGCCGCCCACCCAGGATTGCAACCTGCCACCCTGGCGCTAGCAATGAGTCGGTCATTAATATGTCTCTGTTGAGTACATCAGGGGAACCCACCGCCCCACCACGGTCCTTCAGCTTGCGTAAGAAATCCCCCAGACACGCCCCTGATCACCTGGCCCCGTGGCATTTTATCAGCGGCCTTTCAAAGATGGTCGTTCTAAAAGTGGCACTGGGCCAGGATGGAAGAGCCTTGTGTGACAATAGGGAGCCACCCTGGCACCCTCAAAGTGCATCTCCCTTCCTGTCGCCCGGGGAGACCGGCCGCTGGTGTCAGAAGCAGACTGTGGACCCAGGGAAGCGGTTTCTCACCTGGCTCTGCGGGCCGGCGGTCAGCTGGGCTGCTGTTGGCCTGGCCAGGCGGGGCTGGGGACGGGTGACCTGAAACGACAGCGGCGCGGTGGCACGGAGGCTCGCAGGCAGGGCCCGCTTCTGGAGACTTCCGTGGCTCGAGCTGCGGCGGGGAGCCAGGCCGCTTCATGGCGTGTGGCCTTGGGCGAAGGCTACTTACCTCAGTTTGGGGCAGTAAGGCTTACAAAAGTCCTGGGAGGCTAAAGTGTAGCAAAACCTGTCAAATACGCTCAAAAAATGGGAGTTATTATCTGGAAAATACAACACTTTTGGTCAGAAAACTGGGGTGAGGGGGGGAGTTCCTACCAGGCTTTAGGGTCATTGGTGCTTCCCGGCTGGGCTCTGTTGGGCTGCAAAGTGCTTTCAGAGGCCGAGAAGCTGACATTTGCTGTCACTGTGCGCGTGGACAGCACGGCTGGGCAGGCTGTGGCATTCCCTCTTTACACGAGGGCAGGGCGCAGAAACTGACTGTCCAGACCAGAGGGTCCATCTGTCCCTCCGGGGTCCCTCCGGGGTCCCTCTGGGGTCTCTGTCCTTTGGCCCTGGGAGCCAGACCCTTTGGGACTCAATCAGCACCTTCCTGGGCTCTTTGGCTCTGGCATGGCTTGGCCGGCGGGCAGCCCCAACACCAGGCTGTCCCTCAAGTGACCGCTGCTTCCCCGTCCCACTGACCGCTCCCTGGTCTCGTCTCCTCGGGGCCAGAGTGGTACCAGCTCCTGGCCACTTGGCACACATTCCGGCCCTGTCCTTGGTCCGTAGTTTTCTCACAGCTAAGTCCCTTCAAGCTCCCGTTTTTAGTGTCTCCTGCTTCCTGCCGGGGCCCGAGTGACAGGGGGCCTCGGGCTAGCAAGCGGCAGAGCCAGGATGCCAGCTGCCTCCAAGGAGCCCACTCCACTTTGGGCAGGGCGGGTCCGGGTCACAAGAGCTGGCACCGGGATCCCATGAGTCCTCCACACCCGCGGCTCTCGTGGGGCTCCCCACCCCGCCTGCGTTGGGAACACCGAGTCCAGCAGAAGTGTGTCCCCACGTCTGGGGCTAAGCAGATCACAGCAGCAATTCCTCCGGCTCTCCCTCCGCCATGTTAGGGCCCTGGGGTTCGGATGCAGTACAAGATGCAGGGGATGTTCACCCCACTTGAGCGGTGTGGGAGAAGAGGTGACCCCTCTGCGTGTTCTCCTTACCGAGCCTCGCCTGGCTCGGCCCGAGGGAGCCAGGGGCTGGAGACTCAGAACGACCGAAGCACACGTCAGCCTCGCTGGGGAAGATTCCACAACTCACGCTCAGATGGATGAGCATAAACACACACACACACTCTCTCTCTGACGCGGCTCTCCACAGCGTCCGGCTGGACCACTCCATCCCTGAGACGGAAAGCAGTCAGGCCCTTAATTGCCCATCTGCGCTCACTCCCCAGCTGGCTGCCCGGCCTGAATCTGCCAAGGGGAAATGACTCAGAATTCAGAGCGTAAACTCCACAGCTCATGTAATATTCAGAGCAAGAATTAGATGCATGCGATTTAGGATTTCAGAATCCCTGTTCCCACGGCCACGGCCCCAGGGCCCCAGAGTAGTTCTCAGCCTTCCTCCCTGTCTGGAGATCAGGGTGCGGCTGCAGCCTCGGAGGCCCGTGGGAGCGTGTGTGTGCCGCCGGGCGTGGACACTGGGTGTGATGGTGCGGGCGGGTGTCTCTGGGTGTGTGTGTGACGGCCCACATGTGTGCAGGGCTGCAGCTCTGTGTGGACCCTGTCCCTGTAGGACCGGGAGCCCGGCTTCTCCTACCCACCAGCAGGCAGGTCCACGCAGCCTCAGTCCTGCTAGTGGACGGGGTGAGTGAGCGGGCAGGACCTGCCGTCCGAGGACAGCCTCTAGGCCAGTTTCCTGACACGCGGCATACTCAAAGAGCTGTGCTTTGCTCCCAGACGCCTTCACGTCCCTCTCCCCAGAAGGGAGCCGGCAGCCTGACTCCCCACCCTCCCACCCGTCTCGGCTCAGGTCGCGGGGCTCAATGAAGGGCCTGTGCTCCTCGGACATCCTCCCGGCCCTTGCTGGTCCAGGGCCTCATGCTTTGCCTTCAATTTGTGATAATAAATTTACTTGAGAGGGACTCTTTACCCCTTCCCGGGAAATTGCTTCATGCATTAAAACGCCCAAATGTAAAAACATTCACTGTAGCTTTTTAAAGAGCAAGAAACTGGAAGCAGGACGTATTGATACCCTTCCACCGGGAACCCTGGATAAATGATGGTCTGTTTAGAGCGGGCAGCCTGGGCCGGCTTGCTAAGGGATGCCGGAGGGCTCTTTCGATCTGCCGGAAGGTTCTCCGGGCTGTGCTGGGCAAGGGAGCAAGAGGCGGCCATGGAAGCCCAGGGCAGGGCCCTCCCTGGTAGCGCAGTGGGTTGAAGCGTGCCACTATGAAGTTATTGGCAGCCACTGCAGACCGAGTTCCATCCCCGGCCAGGGAGTGACCCCATGGAGCAGCAGACCTCTCCTATCTCCCTGCTGCCCCCCTCAGCAGTGGACTTCAGTCAGCCTGCCTGTTCTGCTCCCCACTCGGTCTCTGGTGAGTTGCGTCTCCATCTTGAAGACTGTCGTAACCTTAATCTTAACCATTGACCTAGGGGCTGCGTTTCATGTTGCAGGGGCCTGTGAATGAGGCCCTGTGATGAGTGTTAATACAGGCCCAGGCACGCGGGTGGGTGAAGAGAAGTTGGCGGGGGAGAGCAGTCACGAACAAAGAGATGTACTTTGTACACTCACGTGTGATATGATTCTGTTTGTATAAATATGGCTTTCTTGAACTAGAAAGTAACTATAAAATCAAATACACCGAACATAAATCCGTCAAGGTCATCTCTTTGATGGGATCAGTGAGATCAGAACCCCACCCACTTGGGGGTTCTTCGGACCACGTGATTCAGCGCCCTCTAATGCTTGGTTCCGTTACCCCCTGAAGTGACCCCACGAGTCCCAGAAAACCACTGCAAGTTGAGTCCTGCATCCTAGGAAGTCAGGGGACCACCCTAGGGAACAAGAGAACAAGGGGTGGAGGGAAGGGTTTCCAAATGTTGGGGTGAGCCCTGCAGTCCAGGCAGGTGGGGGTCTTTATGGGCTGGTGCCAAGAAGAAGCCCCAGAACAGGGCAGGACCCCGGAAGGGGCAGCCTAGGAGGCACTGCTGGGGGCGAAGCGAGCAAGGTAAGACTGGGAAAAATAGAAGCACTGAGGGTCACTTTGTGCAGACTGAGAGGCGGACACTCGTCTTCCTGTGCCGCCCAAGCCCACTTCAAGAGCTGCGGGGCATGGGGAGCGGGGAGGCATAGACCCTGAAGGAAAGAGGGGTGCTTTCCTAGCACCCTACAGGGGGGTGAGATAAATACCAGCTACCTGCTGCTCTGTTGCATCAGGGGCACTGAGAAACACGGAGGTGCACAGTCAGTGCTTCCTGGTAGTGGCGGAGCGCTGTGAGGGGCCACATGAAGGCCCGGTGGGGAGTGAGGCGTCTGTCACCTGCTGGGGTCACTTCCTATTCTGTTTAGTATCAGAGGACAGGTTCGCAGGACCTGTCGATAGCCTTAAAAAAACTATCACCAAGACATCGTAATAAAGAAAACCGAGAAACAACCACCGACCAAGCCCTCTGCTCAGTCGGGCCACGCTGAGCCCTGCCTGCTCACTGTGCTGAACCCCACGCTGCCTGCTCACAGTCTGTGGGCTACAAGCGCAGAGTTCTAGGTTCCTTCTCCCTCTTGAGCCCCTCTGTGTGCCTCAACTCCCTGCTCCTCAGGGGGCGGTGGGGTCCAGTCTGGAAGTATGTAATGAGACAGGAGGTGCAGTGTTCTTCAGCAGGGCTTTAAAGTTCTGCACCTCGAAATGCTTCATGCCGCCGGCATCCCCCCCAGACTGAAATGGCTGAACTGTCTAACAGTGACCTAGGGGGTGGCTGAGGAGATAGGGCATGTTAAAAATATTTGCCAACAGGGCCC